AAGTTGTTTAAACTGTGGTAGGTCCACGCAAAGTCAAAATCGTTTATTCATTGATAAAGGAAACATAATTATTTATATTTTATCTATCGATAATGAGGTTCCTCTAACGGGGAAGAAACTGGCGAAATAAACTCCGAAGGTACCCTCTTTTTAAACCGACTTCAAAAAGGAAGTGGTTTTATTTATGTAAATTCGGGAAAACTCTGTCATATAATATAGACGGATTTGCAAAATTCTTTTGTGGTTCAGGGGGTTTATTCCTAAATGGGCCTATTTAAACGGAACTCTTCAAAAAATTACAGCAAAACTACCGCGATTGCAGCTATCGCATAAAAATGCGCAATCACACAACATGCTTGTGAACTCGTAAGTGTAAAGTAGATGTATTCAGTATAGCTGAGAACGCGAAAAAGGCTTATTTACACAATTAATACTATAATATTTAACTGTGGTAGAGCCACACAGCAGCCTCGGCTGTTGCACGAATAGGCAGGCTCGTTCGGGTAAGTACCACGACCTCACAGAAGACCAGCCTAATGTGGAAGTATGACAAATACTTTCGCGTTTCGTCTGGTGAGTGAGGTAGCCGGAGCCCAACTTTTCAAAAGGTTGTCAACGCATCTGCAACCCTCGGGTGTAGCAGATGTCCATGGGCGGCGGTATTCACTTAACATCAGGTGAACCGCCTGCTCGCTTGGCAACTTTTCGCATAACAAAAAAATAATAATACGCTGTTATGCGTTAACGCGTTCTTAACTATCATTTGTGCATTGTAAGCGTTTACTTGTCTAACAGTGGGATAAATTCGTATTTCAACTCAATATGCAAAATTTCCTATTAACCCCGAACGCCCATTCGTGCAACGACGGAAAATGTTTTTTTTAATTTTTTTTCTATTAAAAACATTGCCCTTACTTTAGGATAATATTATCCTGTGTTGTAAGGACGTATTACAAACATAAATTTCACGCCGACAAACACCCAGATGCGAAACAACTATCTGTGGGTCACACAAATAGTTGTCCCGTGTGGGAATCGAACCCACGACCCCCGACGTCAAAGCCAATACCTTGGCAACTGCGCCACGGAGTCATCGCAATGTTGTGTGGCCTTACCACAGTAAATGACGTGCAAAAGTCAGTGACCGCCTAGTGTTTCGTGACTCGGACGACAGACGTGCTATCTTGAGATGTTGCTTTCGAATCCTATCAAAGATAAACAATAAGATATTTATATATATATATATATATATATATATATATATATATTTTTTAAGACATTACTTTTCTTCGGCGAGTACTTTTCTTTGCTGTCTATCTACTCTGTTAGGGTCCAAAGGAGTGTGAGCTTCTGTTTTTTTATGCGTTGGAAACGCCTTAAAGACAATGAACTATTGTATTCGATTTCATTCAAATAAAAACGTACAAATAGGAGTTAATGAAAACCACTAAAACGTGGCAATGCGAAAACAATGAACTCGAATTTTTAATGAGTGCCAGATGGCACTAAAGATAAATCAGTGTATTATTATCTAATAATACACTGATTTATCTTTAAGCCTATCTGTAATAAAACTGACCTCGACAAAAAGTTAGGTAGAAGTATCATATGTTTATTGTTTCTTTGTTTGTTAAACCGACTCATTAATAGAATAAATGAATTTTTGTGAGACCTTCAAAGTCTTTTTTTAAGTGAGAAGGTGTTAAGCGAAGTGCCGCATCGCCCTATAACGTGATAATCGCAGCTTATTGACATTTGCAACACCTTGACCTTGCAAAAGTGGGCCCTGACTCCGTCAGACGGAACGATACTCCGTCTTCCGTGAGGTCGTGGTATTTACCCGGACGGACCTACCAATTCGTGCAACGGCGAAGACTGTTGCGTGGCCCCACCACAGTTATAAAAGTTCTGATACATACAACATACGAGTGCGTTGTGTAATTAATTTATCAAAAGTTGAATTGAATAAAATGAATATGTTGAATTTTGTCCCTACTTAAACTGCACACGCGGAATGCGATTTAATTACATGCGCAAGATAAAAGAAATAAAAAAAATTAACACTGTTTTTTCGAAATAAGGACTGTTTCGTAACCTTATGTACCTGTTTCCACGATACCAAAACACAAAGTAGTGTTAATGATATTGTTTTCCGTCTACCTACGAGTATCCTTCAGCTTTCATTGCCCATAATTTATCTGCGAAACCTTGAATTGGGGGATATTTACGGGGGTAAGGCGTATTACTTCTCTGACAAGGCATGAGCCTATTTTTCTTCAGTATCATCACCAAAACATTAATTGTCACTGTGACTCAAATAATAAATATAAAGCCATTTATCGAGCCATTTGGCGTAGTGGATAGAGACCCTGTCTCTCTCGACAGTGTGTGGGTTCGATTCTCACTACTGGAAAAATAATGTGATAAACACATTTCGCCTGTCTGAGTGATTATATATCAATAATAAATGTATTTATTTACAAAAGAAAAGTACGTTTCAGTATGTGGATCAGTTACTTAGTATCCAAAATACAAGCTTGCTTATTTTGGGATTAGATACGAATTTGAAAAAATATGTAGCAATATATTTATTATATTATATCAAAAGGTACGCCACGAGTGTGCGTTTTTTTGTGCGTTCAGAACAGAGAATCTTACCTTAGTAAAAAAAAAACAAACTAAATCACGGAAATCTACTAATTGGCAATTAATTAAATGGCAGAACCTAGAGTGTCATTGCTATGGGGCGGTTAAAAATGATTGAGGCCGTTACAATTTCTGGGCATAGGTAACGTGATCGTGTAAAGAGAAACAGAAAAACAATAAAAATGCCGTTAACGTTAAGGTGGAAACGTTTGGATCTGAATCGCTAATCACATAACTATGTCATTGTCATAGCTCGTTCTGATTCGTATCTAATCTCTAATACTTGATTCTAATTCCAGAGTCATTTTGAGGATTGTCTCAAGCGCGTTTGCGTGCGGCGATAGGATAATCACCCGTCAAGTTTAGATGACGAGCTAAAATGTGGAGATCAGTAAATTTATCAAAATCAAAATCAAAAATATATTTATTCAAAATAGACGCTTGCGCGTTCTTATGAATTGTCAAATTTTACATCAAAGATTATGTATATAGTTTCGTAAGGTACCACCGGTTCGGAAAGCAGTTTCTGTTGAGAAGAGACCGGCAAGAAACTCAACAGTTGCTCTTTTTCAAAAATATCAGGGTACAATATAATATACAGGTATAATAGTCTTATTCTAGTCTACGTGAGTATCGACAGTATTAACTCCACACATTGGCGTCGTCGAGATATTCCGAAATGGTATAACATGCTTTAATCATTAGTTGATTTTTAATTTTACATTTAAATTGGTCAAGCGGCAGACTTGATATCGACTGTCTTATGTGTCAAGTTACTGGTTCTCGTTACGAACAGAATATGTATTGTCAATATGATTTATACAGCTGACCACTGTACCGACAAATGTACCTCATAAAACACATAAAGGCGATAAATTTCATTCAGTTGATTTACGATTTAACGCATTTAAAATCACCATTCAGTAAACAAAACGTAACAGACAACAAAAGCAAGTATATGTCTTAACAAACACAATTTGTTGTCGTGGGCTTTAGTGACACCTTGTCAGTGGTACACTGACGGTATTTAAGTGTGTACATATCACATATGTACATATTTTTTTATCTGTGACAATTTATTTTTTGGACATGTAATATAAGTTTTTTTTTTTTCTATATAAATAAACAAAAGTTTCGGAATTCGAACCAGCGTTTTCTGGGTTCGTACTCAGAAACTTTACCAACTAAGCTAAGCGGCCGATTACCACACAGCGCGAAAATCTTGATGTTCTTTCTATTGCATTGTATAAAATCAAATATTGTTAAATGTACGAATAATGGATAAACAAAAAAATATGATCAACTGGTTATAATTATTATTCTACATTCACATTATTTGTGGTGGTTACAAATGCGATATTAGAGGTTACTGTTAAGTATGAGTAAAACTCATACATGGAGAGTGGATGATGTTAATTGCAAATGGCATAGGCCGAGTTCTGCTATACCTTATTGCGGACATAAAATATATTCAAAATGCTCATTATTCTCTAATCACTAGCAGAACTCAATAAAACACGAGTAAATTGATTTATATAATGTATAAAGAGAATTTTGAACAAAATACGCTCAATAAATGATTAATATTCAGATGTATCCAAAAACAAAACTTACTCAGTTACTAATCAGCAGTCGACCCATCAAGTCTCCTTAAAAAAAATATCATTTCACATGATTGGTTGTTGTCCTTCGCTGTTGTTATTATTAAAAAGTACTTGAAATTGCAATTCACCATTTCATTTCGTGAAAATAAAATAAAACGAAAAATCGACGTAGTTCAAACTTGCTTCAATAGTTAAATTTCTGTTTATTATTATAAACATGTCATACTCAAGGTATATCATATTATAAGGTAAAACTTGGTTCCCCTTCTACATATTTAATATTTTTACTTTATAATAAGTTTTACTTTGAAAAAGAAAAATTGCTAGTAAACAACATAACGGGAAAAGTGTATAATAAAAACAAAGTCGAAGTCAACATTTTTTATTATATTTATATAGGCTTATTTTAGGCTCTTATTGATTCTAAAAGTATTACCGGTTCACTAACTAGACCTGTCCAGAGAAGAACCTGCAAAAAACGGGATTTATCTTTTAATTTTTAAAAAAGGTGAAATTCGCAACGAGCCATATGATAGGACATAATACGTCACATCATTTATTATTATAAATCCTCATCATATGCATTTAATTAATAAATTAATCCTTATCCGTCTTAAGTGTATACAAAAGTACTTGTAACGTGTCAGATAAAAACGCGCCGTTATATGTACTATATATTTACGTCTCACCAACGAATATCTTAATAAATAAAAATGAATGTAAGTAAGTAAATGAAATTAAGTAATAAAAATGAAGGTAAGCGCATAACTCAAGAATGGCCGGACCGATTCGGCTAATTTATTTTTTTGTTTGTTCCTTAAGGTCCACGGTAGCTCTTAATACTATGAAAAAAAGGAATGGAACGAAGTCTGCCCCAGACAGCTAGTTATTAATAATTATTAAATAACATTAAGCATTTAGGTAATAATAATGTGTCAAAGGCAAGTGTCAATGCCAAACAAACTTCTATATATATATATATATATATATATATATATATATATATATATATATATAGGACAGCATATACCTACATTATAGAAGATTACTAATATATATATTTTATCGATAGAAAAAAATCATAAACAGGACTGTTGATTGCATGTATCAATCAAAACAAGACATTCTTAACAATTAATTTAATTCATTAAAAATAACGCAGCAACCAAGACATTTGCACCATCGGGGCATTGTGTCTATTCTATTTATTTGCGCTGCTAGATGGACCTATTACCTATGTAGGTATATAGGTGGACCTATTACCTATTACCTATGTAGCCAATGACTTTGGCCGTTCGTAAACAACCGAACTTGTTTACCGGTCAAAGTCGGTCACTGGCTTTATTTTTGTTTTTTTATTTAATAATTATAATTTTACTTTGTGCATATAACATACTCAAGTGAACTTTGAACTTTGTCTTGTCGTATCTTAATGCAACGCATATGAATCAATAAATCAAATTTAAATATCGCTGCGATTAATAATATTTAATTACGCACAAGTAAGCAACAGTGATTTTTTTTAAATTTATTTACACTGAATAATATTGGCAGTTGAGGAAAAACTTAGTGTGACTCAACCCTCTCTCGTATGTCGTATTAAACGCCACCCTACTGTACGAAGATGAAACTGGTACAGGCGTTTAATAAACACAGATTAAACAACGACAAAAATAGATCAGGAATTGCCTGTAGCCCGTACATGTAAATATTTGTTCCGAGTGGAATTCAAAATACAATCAATTGTAAATATGACACCAATAATACGACCTTTGGGAAATCTCCCAAAGCTATTTTTCCATAAATCTTTATCAAATTCAATGATTCAAACCAACAATTTGATGCCTTTGCTTGCCAGTGTTAATGAAAAATAGAAACGTAAAATAAAATTAAAGTTATCACATCTTTTAACGATTCGAATACTTATTTACATATTAATCTATCCAATACCTTTAAAAGAGCAATTATGTATATATATGTGTGTGTATAGTAGGCGTAGTCGCAAGCAGCAGCTAGTATCTTTATATATCTTTTTATTGCGCTGACTCAGGACCTTGATTTTTATACACCTAATAGGGACTGTTGACCTCAGCATCTTTGTATATATTTCAATCTGCTTGGTCCACCCGTCTCTGAGAAACAGACTGACAAGAGAGTGATCTTATAAGGGCCAAGGGTATCCTATTTTTACTTTGTGAGGTGCGGAACCCCAAAAAGTACCGCGACCGTCACACGTGTATCCGGTAGCGTTTCCTTTAAGACGTTAAGATAAAACGAGAGTGGTTTTGCCGACGGGCGCGTTTTGCAGTCCAGTGTATCGCCGGTCTTCCACCGAGGTGAACGCAATCGTACTCAGAGTTTGCCTCGATATAAGAAGCCCTTTGTTCGTTGTCCATATCTCCTAGGTTGAGCTTATAGTTGTCAGCAGTACAGGTGTATTAATAAGGTATTTATTTACTGTTTAAGAACTAATTAGCATTTTATGTCATACAAGCTTTTGACCGAGGGCTCGCTCGCGTTGTTTCTTCAAATAAAGTAATTATACCACTATAAATGCAATTTTTCTGTATACAGTATGATCTAAATTAGTAGATTTGAAGTTATTGTAATTGTTTATGAACAGTGTACGACAACAATAAGTATCGGTAGTAAGTTACTCTTCGTTGCCCATGTTACGGCTTTTAAATAGTAATTCGTAATTACGGTATTAGTTCAGCGATCCACGAAGTTTTTCTGAACTGAAGTAATTCGGGTTTAAAATCGTACGTATCGTACTTCTTTTATTAATAAAAATCTAAATTTTTTCTGTACTTTAAAACTACTCTACAACTTAAAAGAAAAATTGCTTTGCATTAAGGAAATTACTTGCAAGTGACATGCGATGTATGTGTTCATAAAAGTAAAGTAAGAAAATAACAGCCTACATATATCCATCTCGTGGCTCCACTGCGGATGGGTGGACTGCACATATTTTAGATTTTTTTTATTAAATCGAAAATATGCAGGTTTCCTCAAGATCTTTTCCGGTACCGGGGATTGAACTCGGGCTGCTCGAGTATTTTGAATTAAAGGCAAGCGCCGGGACACTGAGCTATCACGGCTCAGTATCATTATCTCTACATAGTATAAAACAAAGTCGTCCCGCTGTCTGTCCCTATGTATGCTTGGATTTTTAAAACTACGCAACGGATCTTGATGCGGTTTTTTGCTAGATAGAGTGATTCAAGAGGTAGGTTTATATGTATAATACATTGTACCCGTGCTAAGCCGGGGCTGGTCGCTAGTATATAAATAGATATATATGTGTTCATATAAATTTTATTTTGGTGGGAATGTAAATATCATATCAGTGGTCTCTTCGTGACTGTGCCCTATGATGGAGTAAGCTTCACCCACGGGACAAAGTATTTGTATTATATATTTATATGTATATACATCTGTGTAAAGCCTATTATCATAGCAAATCGGAATTTGTCAACGCGGCCTTATTCTCTATACTATTTGTACGCCTTAACAATGTCGATTTACGATCTAGGAATATAATATATAAGAGCAGCTATTTAAGTGTAGTTAATATATGGTAATTATATAGTCCTTACCCGTACTTACATAAACTTTTTTTTAGCCTAGCCTCCACTAGTATATTAAAGAAACAGCCGCTGCTGACAATCCACGCCTTTAATTTTTACAGTTATATTTAAGGTTCAACAGCGAATTGAAAAATCTACCATGTAAATAGCATCTTGTGCTTTTAAACAATTCAACTATTATGTAGTCGGTGTTTTTTTTATTACCATAATTTATATTATTTTTTTAACATTATAATATAAACAACTGACTAAGTGCGAGTCGAGACCGACTCCATTACGCACGAATCCATTACCATTCCAGAATCCAGAACCATTATCTATAAAAACGGCAAAGGAATTTTTTTTGTATGGGAGCCCCACTTATTTTTTTTTATTTTCTTTTATAATATTTGTATGTTATAGCGGCAACAGAAATACATCATCTGTGGAAATTTCAACTGTCTTACTATCACGGTTCATGATGTACAGCCCGGTGATAGACGGACAGACAGACACAGTCTTAGTAATAGGGTCCCGTTTTACCCTTTGAGTACGGAACCCTAAAAAAGAGACATTGATATTGGCTAAATCATTTTGGATAAAGCCACCTTAACAACTATTGTAAAAGCTTGCTACTTATCAATAGATAAGTCGACATACGTTCTCTACCTTTAGGACTCAATAGCCTTATTTTGCGGCGGAAATGCCTATGCATGCCAATTCGGACGGATTATGTCTCATTCGCACCGACTAAAACCCTATGCTGTGGTTGTCACCTAGGTAGCTTGTCAGCAGGGAACTCTTTTGCATACTTCTGCTAGTTGGCCACCCCAGCAGCCCCTTCTCAGGGAATAACCTTCACACTCCTGCAGGGAAGTGGCGAGAGATCATAAAAGCCCTAATCGGGTCCTCTGCGTGCCCCCTATGCCCAAAGGCCGTAAGACCCAAGAGAACCACTGCTCAAGCAGCCAGCCTTCCTGCCTCTACCGGTGGACTAGCAGCTCCAGCACTCAATGAGTTTTGGTTGTGGGGGGCAGGGAAAACGGCGACTTGCAATGCCATCTATCCTCTCCTTTTGTGGCCCCCCTGCCACCGCATCAGCAATGCTTTCCCGCCAAGTCACGTATGATAGAGAGAAGCTAAACGCAATATTTCTTCTCCACCAACTCCATCTCACTTTCTGAATGCAGGGAGAGCGGCTGCTCTACCGCCCTCGGCCTCAGCGAAATTTCCCGCATACATGCACATTGATTTCAATGAGCCCACTCTCAGACCGGCCTTAGTTCACAGTCCAGCCCAGAGTGTATTTTTATTGTTCCCTGTTTAATCCCCAAATCTCACTACTAAGCCCTTCCTCCACAACTAGGTGGTAACACGGTCAGACTATAAAATAGGCTGTCAAGTGCATTGGTACGATTTCTTTTTTAATTCAAGATGCCCCAAAAATTTTACTTTAATGAGATTCAAACCTGCGATCTCAAAGCGCGGGCAAACTAACGCCTGTTTTAAGTGTTTGTGTGATTGCGGGTGACATGTTTTCCTTTTGTTTGACAATGTTCGCGTATTGCAGAATCGCCAATTGATAGATTCAAGTAGCGATGAACGGCAATTCACGATGATTAGAGGCCGCGGTTGACCGCAACTGCTGGTTATCGCTCAATTAGTTGGGCGAGTTAATTGTTTTCAAATGGCTAATACATTTAACCTTTAAAACCACGAATTAGGCAAAACAGTCGTTGAATTGACATTTTTCATTAGTTTTTGTCATAATGAGTGTATTTGTTATTAGCTACCAAATTATTTGCCGCGGGGCAAAACATTTGTGTATTTTTTAATACAAATATAGTATTGTGTACTCGTAATGCTTGGGTATGTTATATTGCCTCTCTTTTACTTTATTAAACACAATACATTCTTCTCACGGATCTAACTGCGTGGCCTTCTTCGAAATGAATGGTTAAAGCGTTTCAAATTAGTTGCAAAATGATCACATTTTTATTAAAATTATTTTAGAGCAAATTGTAAAGTTTATATTTTATATGAAGTAGAAAATTAACTCTAATGCACATTTTTTATGTGAAGAAGTGGCCAAAGAGCTGGCAGTTCACCTGATGTTAAGTGATAACGACATGTTTGTGCAGTAGCGTGTGACGAAGCGCAAAATTATCGAACAAATTCAAACATGACCATTCAGACGACATCGTTAAAGGTATTACTTCCGCACTGCACATGTGAGAAGGTGGCAAGCGAGTTGGAGGTTCACCTGATGTTAAGTGATAACCACCACCCGCGGACATTTGCAACACCTGTAGGGTTGCAGATGCGTTAGCAACTTACAACGAAGTGGGCCCTCATTCACCAGACGAAACGCAGAAGTTCTAAGTTTTATCGGACTTAAGTCATGTGTGTAAAACAACGTCTGCCCGGTCCGTAAGTTGTATATAAAACTCGTTCCGTAATGACAAAACCATGTAGTGCTATATAAAGTGTTTATTCAACAATTATCAGTATTTATCAATTGGGTCCTCGACGAACAAATGCGTTACGTTCTCAAAGTTGAAGTTTGTAAACAGAACTGTAGTCACAACTCGTGCAAGAAATGTGGTAGGACCACGCAATGACGCTGTTGCACGATTGGGCAGGCTCGTCCGGGTAAGTTCCACGACCTCACAGAAGACCGGCCTAAACAGTGGAAGTATGACAAATACTTTCGCGTTTCGTCTGGTGAGTGAGGTAGCCGGAGCCTAATTTCCAAAATGGTTATCAACGCATCTGCAAACTCTCGGGTGTAGCAGATGTCTATGGGCGGCGGTGTTCACTTAACATCAGGTTAACCGTCTGCACTTTTGGCAACTTTTCACATTAAAAAAAATCTAAAACGATATTTCCGTTTTTATTTGTTCTAGGGGCAAGATGTCCGGAGCTGTAACACAGATTCCGATTGAGAAGGAGTACGAGAAGAATCCGGATATGACACCGGAAGACATAAAGAAGTTCAGAGAGTGGCTTATGTCGCAGCCGCATCTGCCTGGAGAGCACATCTCTGGTAAGACTTTCATCAATTTGGCTTAAATTTCATAAAAAAAACTAGTTACGTTAGACTAGAAATGTTTCTGCTTCTCCACTGTAGGTCATAGCGTGGTGTTAAATATCCAATAACCTTCACGATGGTTAGGTACGTCCTTGGAAGTACTGAACTTCACAGAATCCGGCGTGAAGAAGTTCTTCACTAAATAACACTTCCATTATAACTTCTGCGTTTCGTGTTTTGAGTGAGGTAACCGGGGCATATTCTATTTAAAGGTGGCGACACATCTGCAACCCCATGGGTTATGAAAACGTCAATGGGCGCCGGCTCGCTTGCTATCTTAAATAAAAAAAATGTGTTATTAAAAACAAAAGAAATAATAAAGGGGAAAATCAGGCTGGAAAAGATTAAGATATAAGTATAATTATAACTTTCTATAAAAAACCAATGATAGTCTAGAGGCAGCGACGTTATTTTGCGGCTGAATGTACAGAGTTCGTGCCTGGTTTTAGGACGCGATTATTTAATGAAAGAGGAGGAAAAAACTGCGGGTAATATTTGCAGTCTATTAGATCTAATCAGCAGGAAACGCAAGATCATCTAATTGCTCGGATGTACACGAGAAATGATAATTATGCGTTCAACTGTAAGGGATTTGCGTTGAATGTCAGTGCACGTACATACATGGCAGATATTTTTTAAATATTTTTTTTAAATTTTAATTTGGAACAAAATTCATGGCACTTTGTCAAATATATATGTATGGGTTGCAGAAGCGCACCTTACTCACCAGACGAAATACAGAAGTGTAACCCTTCTACTTTACGCCGGTCTTCTTTGGGGTCATGGTACTAACCCGGACGGACCTGCCCATTCGTGCAACGGTTAACACCATTGCATGGCCCCTAGCACTAGTAAAAATATATACAGCTTACTTACCAAGATAAAGCCAATTTGGATTTTCATTATTTAGCTAAGTTATTTTAAATTCCAATGTAAAAAGCGTATGTAAAAAGAGCCGTGATAGCTCAGTGTCCGGGCGCTCGCCCTTAATTCAAGATACTCGAGCAACCTGAGTTCATTTTAAGTGCCGAATTATCACGTGCTCAGCGGTGAAGGAAAACTTCGTGAGGAAACCTGCATATTTTCGAAGTAATGACAAGAAAAAAATATTTCGAAAATATGTGAAGTCCGCCAATCCGCCAGTGGGGCCGTGTGGTGGACTATGCCCGGATACCCTCTGTACAGAGGAGGCCTTTGCCCAGCAGTGGGACGTGTATAGGCTGATACTTTACATTTTACTTTATGTAAAAAGGACATTAGTATGGATTACAACAAAAAAACATGAATTATATATTAATTAGTAAGTATTCTATAAAGTTAAGCAACAGCCTATACATGTAGCATTGATGAGCTAAGGCCTCTGTACGGAGGGTACATCTGTTCATGATCAACCAATTAAAAGCTCATTACATGGAACTGTGAATTCACGCTTTCCTTTTTCCTTTCCTATTTTTCCCGAAATCTTTGACTATCTCATTGAAGTATAAATGCCTTCATCCGATGTTCATAAGTGATTCATGTACACCTCCCTCTGCTCTCTTCTTTATGTCTCATTAGCAAATATTCTTTTTACAATGGTTGTCTGGAAGAAATAGCTTTCTGAGCGATAAGACCGCCTATTGTACTTCCTTTTATATTCATTTTTAATTTGCTTTTTATATATTTTTATTTTTGGTGTACAATAAAGTATAAATAAATAATAAATAAATAAATTAGTTATCATCAAGTGATCAATTTACTTGTTTGATGATGAATGACCGTCGTATTCTACTTCCAGACCTGAATCTAGCAATCACATTCCACTCTTGCGAAAATAGTTCGGAGGTCTCGAAGCAAGTGTTGGATCTGCACTACACTCTTAAGACGCTATTTACTGCGTTCTTTAAGGACCGCGAGTTCGACAAAGAAGTGGAGAAAGCGCTGAATACGGTGTAAGTATGAAAGCATTGTAGGTCGACTCCCCAATAGATGGAGTCAATGTCCTGTGAAAATGTGCGGGAAATGAATGGATGCAGGTAGCTCAGTTTCGTGCTTTCTAGCGGTCTGTAGATAAGGCATTTATAAATGCACTGCAATTAATCAATTAGTAAGCTGCCAGTACAGTCCGTATAAATTTTCATAAAGTGTTTTAAATGAAAAGATAATTATTTTAACTAAAACTTTTAAATAAAATAATCAAGTTACCATTTCATCTATTAAAAATGCCACCGGGAGATTGCTTGGAATTAGTACGGCAAGGAAATGGTTGATTTATGCGTATTTATGCTGTATAATTGAGGTATTTACTTTAATAAAAAAATTTTTTGCTAATGACTCCCAAAATGATAATAATTTAGAGGTTATGAAGTGTTTTGAAGTGTGACAAATCATACAACACTTAACAACCTGTCACGTAAGCGTTCTAATAAGCAGGCTGGTTGGACGTTATGTTGGGAAACGTGCTACACTCGGAGAACAGTATGAAGTCTGAAATATATATAGCTATAACTTGAAAGCCGCTATTTAACGTCGAGCCAGTAGTACCGCTAACTACCATTTATCTTGATACACAATCTCTTGTACAAGGCTAACAGCAAAATTTTTGTTTGTGCACACTTGTCACGTCGTTTCACGGCAAAAAATAAGTTTTAAAATACAAAGTTCATGTAAATGTAAGAAATAATTTTAAATCTTTCATATCACACACAATTTAGGTAATATAGACTTTAAATGTTCAGGGCTGCGAAAAATATTAATTCTTTTCTTCTATCATTATAATGTTAAAACTAGCATTACGATGAAACAACCTTCCTTTCAATTTGTTCGGTGGTAGGGCCACGCAGCTGCCTCGGCTGTTGCACTAATGGGCAGGCTCGTCCGGGTGAGTACCACGACCTCACAGAAGACCGGCGTAAGGTGAAGTATAATACTTTCGGGTTTCGTCTGGTGAGCGAGGTGGCTGGATCCCAATTTTCAAAAGGACGCATCTGGAACCCCCGGGTGTAATAGATGTACATGGGCGGCGGTATTCGCCGATTCGCATCAGATGAATCGTCTGCTCGCTTGGCATCTTTTCACATAAAAAAAATTGTTAAAATGTTACTTTTAACGAGTGCAATAAAAATGTAGCAATGATACAGGTATATCAGGTTAAGGAAATTTATTCCCAAAAAGACAATAAAATGCCACTTACATGAGAAGATTATACAATTATAAAATAAAGTAATGGTCGCCTAACTGTTAACAGATTTATATCTCAAACCGAAGGCGAAAAGTTATCAAATGTACCGTTGCTTTTTATCACAGATTGTTTGCTCTCCTGCCTACTCCAATTGACCACGGCTTTCGGGTCCTGTACGCGCGTTTGATCGATCCCGACGCTGGCAACTTCAACTTCCCCAAGGCTATCCGAGCCTTGATGATGGGCTTCGACATTTGGCAGCAGGAGGAAGGCACTTGGCCCGGGTATAGAAACAAATGCTTCTTTTTATCCTGGCATAAAAAGAGTAGCATTTCGATAGCATTAGATACATTAAAAACAAAGATTGAATTGTGATAATTTCTTGTATTTAGGCGATTACATATTATATATCTATGCATAGATCAGAAACATTTAAACGTTAAAACTGACGGTAGTCCGGCCGTGACCGTGAACGCTGTAAAGGGTTCGAAACGTCGGGAATTAATATTAAAAATAAACGCGATAAATCCGCAAAAATAGTTTCAATTATAATCTGATCTCTGCATTCTCTAGTTTTCTGGTTTAAAGTGGTTTTTGTACAATCTACATTACATTTTAAAATTTCTTTTTATAAACAATTTAGGATAACATTATCCTGTGTTGTAGGGACGTTATACAAACATAAATTTCACGCGGACACAAACACTCAGATGCGAAACAACTATCTGTGGGTCACACAAATAGTTGTCCCGTGTGGGAATCGAACCCACGACCCCCGACGCCGAAGCCAATACTTTGGCAACTGTGCCACGGAGTCACCAAACAATCAGTATAGAAATAAAGAAGCTTGTTGTGTCTTGCTTTAAATTAACGGTGAACAAGATTTTTTCTGTTTATATTACAGGTTTGTGATTATGATAGATATGCATCTGTGTACATTGAGTCACGTCGCCAAACTTGATGTGATGAGCATCAAACAGGTTTTATATTTTCTACAGGTAAGACAACATTATTTAACATTATTTTCCTAATAAATCCTAATTGACGACCCGAATGGCGTTGTGGGTAGTGTACCTGCCTCCTGCGCCATAGGGTGTGGGTTCGATCCCCACTACTGGATAAATGTTGTGTGATGAACATAGTATTTTTCTAGTGTCTGGGTGTAAAAATATGTATAATATGTATTTATTTACAAAAGAAAAGTATGTTTATGTATGTTTATCAGTTTTCTAGTACAAGCTTTGCTTAGTTTGGGACTAGAGAATGTTGTGTAAAAATGTGTCCTAAAATATTTATTATTTATTTATTTAATAAATCATTCAAGGTCGTACATTTAATGAGATGAGCCGCGATAGCTCAGTGTCCGGGCGCTCGCCTTTAGTTCAATATACTCGAGCAACCTGAGTTCGATCCCCGATGCCGGCACTAATGAAGTTTTTAACTTTAACTGCTGACTTATCACGTGCTCCGCGGTGAAGGAAAAAATCGTGAGGAAACCTGCATATTTTCGAAATAATAACAAATAAATATATATTTCGAAGATATGTGAAGCCCGCCAATTCGTAGTGGGGCCGCGTGGCGGACCTTGCCCTGATACCCATTGTATAGAGGAGGCCTTTGCCCAGCAGTGGGACATGTATAGGCTGTTACTTTACTTTTACCTTTACTTCACATTTAATGACTATTTCGACTGGGCCACCACTAATGTACATTTCCACTTTTGTTTAGTTAGACACCCAATTAAATTACTTTTAACAGTTTATATGACTTACAAAATCTAATGACAGACTCAAATCGTGTTGCTAATTAAGGGATAATATGTATCATATTCAAACATTATTTATAAGAGTCAAAAACTATGCGCCACATTCAGTAACAGTAATGAAAAAACATATAATGTAGTAACTGCCATAAATGGTACCATAACGATTTATATTTATGTATGTTTCAACGTGAGGTATGTTTTGAAAGCTGGGACTTTTTATGACTTTATTAAAATAAAACATTATTGCACAGGAATGTATGCTAGTAAGGCTCAAAGGGTTTCACTTCTTGAACGCGCCGTACTTCATGGACAAGGTTATGATGCTACTCAAGCCATTCATGAAGAAGTCTCTTATGGATATCATCCACATCCACCAGCCAAATTCCGAGGAGCTGTACAAGTTTGTACCCAAAAAGGCATTCCCGAAGGAAGAAGGCGGTGAATACAAGGATCATGAAACAATCAGAGGTGGAACTATTTTATTTACTAATTTATGAAGATAAATTAGAACAAACATGTACATCTGTCTGCATATCTGAGATTATGTAAAAAATCACTGTTTCTAATTAGAATAAATCACTGGTTCTTTTTATACAAAATCAATTACTAAATGATATAATTTTTGATTTAGATGAATATACAAATTTCCTTGTTGCATGTTTAATGGCAGTAGTTAATCTAATTTCATATGTGAACTTGAACATTTCAATTTAGATTATTGTTTGTTATTGTTATTTATTGATATAAATAAATAATTGGAAATAAATATTTCAGACGAAATGATCGAGCGCTTAAAAGCCAATGACAAGTTCTTCAAGACCGAAGGCCTTTGCAGGGTAAATGAGGCGCTTAGGCCTGGAGGCAAATCCAAAATAGCAGATCTATTCAGCGTCCAGGGTAGCTTTAAGAAATTGGACATAGACTAGTAAATTATAGAGTTGTGATTTTACATTTTAATAGGTAAACAGGTTTATATCATGTGGTAATTTTTAATTAAAGTGATATATTTTTAAAAGTGACGTTTTTATGCTTATTAATGTTTTTTCTTGCAAATATTTATTAAAAAAGCAATTTCATTCACTAACAGCTTACATCTTATTAACTTATATATTACAACCTAAATATTAACTTTGTCAAATTATGAATGGATTGAATTTATAGTAGGAGACTTTGCTTCGTCAATTGTTTTTATAATATATAGATCAAGCACTTGTAGTTTAAGAAAAACATCACCACATTTTTTTTTATTTATTCTATCAAATACCTTAACATATTGTAATACTCAATCACCAATACCTAACAAATAGCCAAATACATAATAACCAAATACCTTAACATAATATAATTGATTAAAGCACCACACATAAACAAGCCAAAATCTTTAAACTATACCTACCATAAGTTGCCAAAATTGCCAAGTTGAGACACACTCAGAGCGTTGGTATCTGGAACGGCCTGCGGATCGCATTGCTACTCTGGGTGACGCTGACGCGAATCTCCAAGCAACTGAACTGACGAGCCAGATCTATAGAAAATTGACAATACTAATATAACATCATATATTTATTAGATGATTACAAAAATAATCATGAAAATTCGATGTCAGCCTTGGATTCACTGAACTAAAGTATATAATTTACCGCACTGACGCCCCGTTAAATTATAGTCACAGATTATCAAAATTGTGATAATTACGTGCTGACCACCGGATGACTATAGTGTCCTTGCACCATTTATAACAATTTCATATAAAAGTCGACAATATGTGAAGTTTTCATCAGTCGTCGGATACCGAGATGAATCTTCTAGCCACGCTCTTAGCCTTTATGGCTGTGTTGTTCGCCGTTGTAGTAAGTATTTCTCCTTGTTTTGAAGTTTTTGTTTCACCATCATCAACATCATTTCAGCCTGTTTGAGTCCACTGATGAACACAGGCCTCCCTCATAGACCACGTAGCACGATCCTGAGCCACCTACATCCATCGACTTCCTGCACACTTGCACATGTCGTCACTCCATCTCCGTTACATGGCGGGATAACCATCTCGATTTGCCAGACCCTAAATATCAAGGCCAATAACGAGCAGCTACATTAAAGGTGCGCGATGTCTGGAAGAACTGACGTCGCCAACGCGATTACCAGGCGTGGCAAGTATGGCGAAAATCCCCTCATGGAAGTCCAAGATTTTTTTTGTTACCCTCTTACAAATATTCAGTGTTTCTGTTGGGTTATACATCTATATATCAGAAACAAATATTTATAGGCCACAGAAATAAATCTGTATTTGACGGGTTTGATTGGGAAATACGCTAATAGCTATATGTTCCTCCTAGCGTGGATTCAATGAAGTGGACAATTTTTGGGATTATAAAGATTTATTGTTTCCATTAGTGCTATAATAAACTCTCGGTTGTTGTAAGTCGAATCGTGGTTTTTTTTTGTGAAAAGTAGCGAGCATGTGAGCAAGCAGTTCACCTGATGTTAAGTGATTACCGCCACCCACGGACCCTTTGTAGAGGTGTTGTTGGCTTTGACAGGGCCATTAGGGTTTAGATGCGTTGCCAATTCGAAAAATTGGGCCTCAGTTACATTACTCACCAGACAAAATGCGAAGGAATTACCGAAAAACTACGTATAATATGTATTAAAATGAAAACATATACTGGAGTTTTAAAAATCATTAAATGGCTTTAATAAACGTCGGCAAAATAAATTACGATAATTAACTAACTTTTACTACTGTGGTAGGACTAGGCAACAGTCACTGTTGTACGAATGGGCAGGTCCGTCCGGGTAAGTACCACGGCCTTACAGAATTCCGGCCTGAAGTGCATTTGTTATACTTCTGCGTTTCGTATGGAGAGTGAGGTAGCCGGGAACCACTTTATTATAAGGTGGCAACGCATCTGCAAACTTACGGGTGTTGCAAATGGTCCATGGTGAACTGCCAGATCGCTAGCCACTCACATAAAGAGAACTTTGTTTCACTCTTAAGGAAAACTATTTTTATTAACTTAATCTATTCATAATCTTTTATTATTTTCCTTCTTATGTTTAAAGAGGGTATGCACAGTAAAAATATGAAATTAAAATTAACCCGATACTTTATGTTCACCTATTTTTTATTCTATTGATAAATAATTTATTCAGTTTTCTAGCGTTTTCAGATAAGAATCATAAACCTTATTTATGACATGGTAATTTAAATGTACGTCTCTTTTCCTCATCCTACTTACAGTCCATGGAGATCTGAATTTAGTCTTCTTTAATTCCTTGCAATTTCGGTAGTCAACTTTTTACCCTTTTTGTCTTTCGTTTTTTAAACATTATCCTTACTTTAGAATAACATTATCCTATGTTGTAAGGACGTTTTACAAACATAAATTTCACGAGGAAAAACACCCAGAGGCAAAACAACTATCTGTGGGTTACACAAATAGTTGTTCCGTGTGGAGATCGAACCCACGACCCCCGACGCCGAAGCCAATACCTTGGCAACTGTGCCACGGAATGCATTTGAGTCTGAGTCTCATGACCACGCGTTTTTATTCATTCTAACTCAAACTTAAAAGGAACGCAAGATAGAAGCCATGCACGGGTTTTGTTTAAAATTATTACGACGTATGAAATTCTTTCCGTAAGAGATAGAGGAGGCTTTCGCCTGCAAGGAATCACATAACAAACAGGAAACATAAATAAATGATGCTCGTGTGAAGATCAAACCTAAAAAAATAATAATTAACAAAGTTCTTTGAGTCATATCTAAACTTTCCGGTGTTCTAGTGCGGGATGAGTACAGTTCCGAAGATTGCAGCAATGCGCGAAGGTAAGGAACAGGCTGGGTGCTTTGGGGGCCCAGGAGGCGGCGGTCCACCACCACCACCGCCCACTAGTGAGTGGAAATCTAATAATCATAACTATAGTTGTAGTATGCGATTGACTAGGGCCTTTACTACACCCATAAGTCCCACCGATACAGATAAGTAAAATTGGAGTGTCTGTTTGTAATATTAAAATAACCGCTTTTTACTAAATGTATATGGATGTATACACGGTACTTATATCAAAATAATATTTTTTACAATTTTCGTCTGTCTGTCTGTTTGTTCCGGCTAATCTATGAAGTGGCTGGACCGATTTGGACGGGACTTTCACTGGCAGATAGCTGATGTTTTAAGGAGTAACTTAGGCTACTTTTATTTTAGAATTATTTTTTTTTATTTTAAATTCCTCGCGGACGATGTCGCGGGCACAGCTAGTATAACATAAAATAGACGTAGTTTGTGTGAAATTCAAGGATAATGAAAATCCATAATCTCTACCTCGCAGTGACATGCTTATTTATTTATATATTTTATTATGTATTTTTCGGAGCCGTGGAACCGCATATGTATGTACTGTTATTTAACTTTTTTTTGTTCTGTTTTACTTGTAAGATGTAATAAGATTTTTCAGTATGTATAAATAATCTATCATATTCTAATACTTTCATGAAATTCCCTTTTCCCTTTACCCTAAAGTGGCAATGGGCCGGCCATGTAGCTCGTAGAATCGATAATTGACGGGGAATAAGTGGTATCGAGTGGCAGCCTCATACTGGCCATCGCAGTGTAGGACGGCCCCTCACTAGATGGAATGACGACCTGTGCAAATGTGCGGGAGGTCGATGGATGCAGGTGGCTCAGTCTGTGGGGGAGGCTTATGTTCAGCAGTGGACAGGCTGAAATGATGATGATGTAGTCCATTTATGTGCCAAATAGGTACCAGGGAGATTCCGTTGTGATGTGTGGCTGAATTCAGTGCTGTTTTAACGTATGAATTAACTTTTTATTACTTCCTGTTTTCAGACAGCACTGGCTAGATGACATCACTCCCGAAGATTTCACGAACCTATCTAATGGACTCTGGCCACAAATAAACTATCAATATAACTTTCTCTTTTATTTTATAACCTATAACAGTGGTGAGAATAAAATACACACAAGTACAAGAATCTCAACATAGCTCATTTTATATAGATATATTATATAAACGGAAAAGATAATTTAAACTAAATAGTTTCTTTGTGTTTTGATAAAGAAAAACTTATTCAGTTAAATAAAAAAAAGTTGCGATATTAAGGTCATGTGAAATCCCAGTACCCAATTGTTTTACTCCTTGTCACGGTTGAAACGAAAAAAAAAAAAACTTAATAAAACAAGAAGGACAAAAACAATGATGGGTAAAGATCTTTATCTGATTCAAACTTGTATTAAGAAACATATTGTGAGCTTGTTTACTTATTTTATTACAGCCTTTTTAAGGATAGCCCTCTTTGTATCTTGATATTCCGCAGCAATTTAATTGTTATTCGAGAAGTTATAAATTATTCGAGAAGTTATAAGTTATACAAGAAGATATAAATTATTCGCTAACTAGCAATGACACTAAATTAAAAAGATATAAAACATTTTTTGGGAAGTTTTTTTGTTTTTAATGTGAAAAGTTGCCAAACGAGCAGACGGTTTACCTGATGTTAAGTGAATAACGCCGCCCATGGACATCTGCTACAATCGAGGGTTACAGATGCGTTGACAACCTTTTGAAGATTGGGCTCCGGCTACCTTACTCACCAGACGAAACGCGAAAGTATTTGTCATACTTCCACTTTACGCTGGTCTTCTGTGAGGTCGTGGTACTTACCCGGGCGGGCTTGCCCATTCGTGCTACAGCCGAGGTTGCTGCGTGGCCCTACCACCGTAGATGACACACGATAATGTGTTCTATGGTCAAACAATAGATTTGATGTAAAAGTTAGAGCACTAACTACTGTGGTAATAGGGCTAATCTTTTGTATGCTTTTTTATGTGATAAGGTGGCAAGCGAATTGGCGGTTCATCTGGTGTTAAATGACAACCGCTGCCCATGGATATTTGCAACACCCGTAGGGTTGTAGATGCGTTGACACATTATAATAAAAGGGCCGCGGCTACCACACTCACCAGACGAAACGCAGAAGTATGACACTTCCACTCTACGTCGGTTGCCTGTGTGGTCGTGGTAATCCACCGGATGGACCTGCCCATTCGTACAACAGCCGAAGCTGTTGCGTGCCTCTACCACAGTTAAAATGTTCTATTATGTTGTATCATTCTTTACAATTATTAATTAATTAGAATTATTATCCTCTCTTCTACCCATCACCACATGCACTACGGACGAGTAGCTTAGCTTTATGCTACTCGGCAGGCGAATACGCATGCCCAGTTCGGGCACGCTCTGCCCATGCCAAAGAGGTCGATGTTGCCCTAAATGCGGCGTGTCGGGTGGTTACCGGGACTCTGAAACCGACTCCTTTGCACTAACTATATACCCTGGCTGGTGTAGCTCCGCCAAGTGTTCGACGAGAAGTAGCTTGCAGCGTGGCATAAATAGAAATATGATAGCAGGCATCCACTTCACAGCCAGACTCCACCACCACCACGTCTAAAGGGCCGTAACAGCTTTCTGAGACAGCCTAGCTTAAATGAGAGGCTCGCTCTAAAAGCTAGGCTGGAGCGGTGGAATAAAAAGTACCCTCCTAAACGCCCTGCATGTTTGCCTCCTGTTGAGAGGCTCCCCCGGGTGGTGATCTTCCCTGGGCAGTTTGGAAGTCCCTAAACAAATTTCAATCTTGTGTAGGAAGATGGCAGGATAACCTAGTGAAGTGGGGTTTCTCCAACGAAAATAAATGTCACTGTGGAGAGGTCTAAGCTATGGCCCATCTACTGCGATGCCCGTTGTGTCCCTCCACCTGCACCCACGAAGACCTGCTTGAAGCCAACTATGCTGCGGTGGATGTGGCCAGATACTGGTCGAACAAGAATAGAAGAAGGAGAAGAAGAATTATTATTAACTAATATTATTGTATCATTCTGTTTACCAAATTATAAGATTGAATGTTTTATTCGATTTATTGGAAGTTCTGGTCTTAAAAACGTATGGATTATTTTAGCAGTATACACTTTTTTTTTTAACATTTTTTTATCACGTGCTCAGCGGTCAAGGAAACCATCGTGGGATACGTGGCGGACTATGACATAATACCCTCTGTACAGAGGAGGCCTTTGCGTATCAGTGGGATTTGTATAGGTTGTTACTTTACTTTACCTTTTAAATTACATTTAAGGTCGTACCCTGTGCTTGTTTTATTGTTGCCCCAAGGCTACTAAACTACTAAATATAGGGCAATATTCATGTACGGTTTGTTTAAGAGCTTTATCGCCAGCCACACTTGTCCAGCAATAAAAACTGCGTACGTATGAAAGGTTTATAAAACGAGGTTTATAAATATACTTGGGCGCGTATTTAAAAAATTACAAGGATCAGCAACGAGTAAACTTTCAATGAAACAACTTAATTTTGGTTGCCATTACCCAAGTCTCTCATTAACCTTATAACCAATACTTATTTGTCTATAGAAAAGATGAAACTCACTGACTTATCAACGGAGACAATGACTCCACGCCTCCGTAGGTTTTTGTGAAAATTCGGTAAATATATTCGCGAAATTTTAATATTTAAAATATTAATTATTCAAAATATTTGACTCATAAGATCTGAATTAGTGTAAATAAAATTCCGTTCTGAGATAGACGAAAAATTCTTGGGCAAAAGCTACATATACAAAACATTGTATATAAGAAATAAAAGTAAATGTATGAAATAAATTAAACGCTATATTAAATCTCAGATAAGTTTGGGAAATGCATGTAAAATAACAACGCGTAGTAAAAACACATTAAAAAAATGTTAAATTTCAATTTATTAATATGGCCGTCATTTGTGTGAAAGTACAAAAATATAAAAAAATTATACGTAAACTTTTTTCACAGGGAATTTTGTGGTTATTTACAATATTAATTCGTCATTTAACAATGCTGCGACATACTGAATTCTTACAATGAAAAGTGTGGAACATAAAAAGGAATTGACGTTTTTTAAAATCTTGCATGTAATTAATGAAAGAAAATAAGGTGGGTTTTATGAACATAAAATGTTTCATGGTGAAGATAAATGAATAAGATACATGTTTTTTTCTGAGAACATCTAAAACAAAACCATGAAATGGGTGTGAAGAATACATTTTAACACTTTTCGTAAAGTCTGTTTTTGTCGTTCACACTTTATGAAAATGTCATGTTTGCTAAGCCCGATTTACTGCTAACGTCAATAAGTGAAACGCTTGTAAATAAGCTTCTCTTAATTTTGTTTTGGTTTAAGCGGAGCGTAATCTCGAGTCCACTAAGTAATGGGCGTGGAAGTCATCCATTTTTAACCTACTTCAAAAAAGAAGGAGGTGATAGAATCACACACAATTTGAAATATGTAAATGAATGTGGGCTGAAATTGACCGCAGTGGACGGTACTGTTTCATACACCCTCTGCATTTTTTCTCTTTTAATATACAAAACGTTTTCATTTTTGTCAACATAGTTTTTCTATTCCACGAAGATGTTTATATTATTTCAGCATCATTAGCTCGGTGGCACTCAGTTGCACTAGTGCTTGCACACATCCACACTTATCTGTACACCTACAAGGACTAAGCTCTTCGCGGAATAGAAAATCTTTAGCAGCAACCGGGCGCAGCGATGGCGCACAATCCGCCCCACGTGGGCGTCCTAATGTTCGAGTTCCTGCAGCTGCTGCAGTTGCTGCAAATGCTGCCGCTGCGTCTCCTCCTCCTGCTGCAGCGCTTCCCTCTCTGCGGCGATGCGCGCGTGCTGCTCGGCGATCACCCGGAACAGCTGGGCGTGCTTCGCCGCCGCCGCCGCGACCGCCTCCGTTTGCCGCGGCACCGGCGGTACCACGTCTGGAGAATATGATTTGCGGGTCAAGTTATTGAACATTAGGTTTTAAGCGAACATTAAGGCACCATTGTAAATCCAGTTCAAAGGTGTGCACCTGTTTCAGAGAAAGTTACAGACAACACACAAAAAAATTGCTTAATTTTTTTCAATGTTAAAAGTTGGGAAGCGAAAAGGCGGCTCACCCGATGTTTAGTGAAGTCACCTATCCACTTCTACAAATACTGAGAGTTTGCAGATGCGTTACCAACATGTAAAATATAACCCTATTTAACTAATTCATCAGACGAAACGCGAATAATAGTGCAAATTAAATAATTGCCGTTCACTTTATTTCATTATAAACAAAGGCAAGGAATAAAACTTCGCCGCTCTTAGTCCGTGTCGTTTCTCGGTGAGCCAAATGAATGCACTAGGAGATATTATTTTATCACTGCAAACCTTTCAAGGTTCTTTTAAGTTCGACCTTGAAAGTTTTTACAATTTATTGGCTGTACTCGGCCACGCGTTGCTTTTTTTTTTTTTTTTTTTTTATGTGAAAAGTTGCCAAACGAGCAAACGGTTCACCTGATGTTAAGTAAATACCGCCGCCCATAGATATCTGCTACACCCGAGGGTTTGCAGATGCGTTGACAACCTTTTTGGAAATTGGGCTCCGGCTACCTCACTCACCAGACGAAACGCGAAAGTATTTGTCATACTTTCACTTTACGCCGGTCTTCTGTGAGGTCGTGGTACTTACCCGGACGAGCCTGCCCATTCGTGCAACAGCCGAGGCTGCAGCGTGGCTCTACCACCGCTGTATTTGTTTTAACATATTTAGTGAGAAAGAAATCGGTAAAATTGCTTTACACTTTCGGAGATTTGAAACGCACTTAACTATTCGTTATCTTATGTCATATGAGCACGTTATGAGAACAGATGAAAGTCACGTGACTAGAAGAGTTATTGTTGAGTTGAGAAGAGTTGAGTATGGATGTGGTAGGAGCGCGTAAAACTAAAGGAAGACTGAAAAAGATTTGGATGGGCTGTGTGAAGAATGATAATATCTGTGAAAGGGGTGAGCATTGAGATGACATGAAAGTGGAAGAAAAGGACATGTGCAGACCCCACCTAGTGTGAGATAGGGGCAGGAGAAAGAGAGATCAAGAGAGAGAACGTTGGCTCGTTACAGGGGTGGGGAAGAGCTTTTGGGCGTCTTGTTTAGAGTAGTAACTGTAAAGTTAATTGGTTTACTTATTTTAGTCAAGAAGCACCGTGCTGTGCTTTATATGAGGATTTAAAAAGATGGACGTTAAATTTATCCCTTTCCGTTTTACGTTTGTAAGTTAAAGTTGTGATAGCTCAGTGTCAGGGCGCTCGCCTTTAATTTAATATACTCGAGCAACCTGAGTTCGATCCCCGGTGCCGGCACCAATGAAGTTTTTAACTTTAAGTGCTGACTTATCACGTGGTCCGCGGTGAAGGTAAACATCGTGAGGAAACCTGCATATTTTCGAAATAATAACAAAAAAAAAATATTTTTCGAAGTTATGTGAAGTCCGCCAATCCGCATTTTGGCGTGGTGGACTATGCCCCGATATCCTCTGTATAGAGGCCTTTGCCCAGCAGTGGGACATGTATAGGCTGTTACTTTAAGTAAAAGTCGAGATCGCCAGTAAACTTACTTTCAGGGTGAGCGTGCTCCTCGGCTATCCTCGCGTAGAGCTGGAAGTGTCTGTCCTTAGCCTGGGCTACAGACTCGGAGTCTGCCGGGTGCTCCGGTGGCACGTCACTCAGCACCGGATGGAAACCTTCCCGGTCCGCGACGTACTCAACCGTACGGAGCTTTTGGCGTGGATCCACGTACGAGAAAGAGCCTGGAACATTTAACATTTCATCATCATCATCATTATTACTTAAACATTTTTGAATCCACTGTTCAATGGCTCCACAGAAAATCAGCATTGCGGTACTCTCCGCATTTTTTTTGCTGAGTGGAGACCATTTTTGACATAAACACAGTACAATACATTCATTATTACATATATACACTTTTCATTTTTTTTTCTCAAAATTTTCTTGTTTTGCTTGTGTCTTTATATTTGTAACTTTGTGTACTTACACTTATTTTTTCTTTTTAATTTCTATTTTTTGAAACGATTTTTGTTTTTATTTTGTAATTAAGTTATTTTCATGTCATTTATTTTGAATGTTCTTGCTGTGTGTTGCTTGTCGAAATAAAGTCTATGTCTATATCTATGTCTGTGTCAATATAGGCGCGTATTGCTATTGATTAAATCAAACTAATTGTGCCTTATAAACAAAAGTATTCAAGTGAACATTTCGTCGGTTTTATTATTATACAATGATTTATTAAGTACTAGCTTTTCGCCCGCGGCTTTAAATAAATAAATATCTTTCAATCCTTAACAAAACTTTTTTCCAATTAAAAAAGCCTATGTCCTTTCTAAGGCTATAGACTATCCGTGTACCAAATTTCATTCAAATTAGTTCAGTAGTTTTGGAGTGAAAGCGATATAGACAGACAGATTTACTTTCGCATTTATAATATAAGTAAAGAAAGTATAGATTTATAGAATATTTGAATATAGAATAATATTTAACCAGAGTCGTGAAGTGTTTTTATACTGGTGACAAATAAACTCTCAACATTATTTGTAATTGTTCATCAACGGCTTGTTGAAAGAGGAAAATATCCTGGATAACCTAATCCTAACGAAGCCTGGATATCATAAAATACTGTCTTCATTCTCCCATTGGGCTCGCTTGGAGTAAGAATGGATATATTAGATTATATCTGTATCCTCAGAGGCGAATTTTGCTAAGTAGTCGTATATTGTTAGTTGGCGCTGGCAACACTGTTTACCGGATATGACGTTATTTACTCGAGCTAAGGGACACATGGTCGCATGAAGCAGCGGTCACTTGGATTTCGGCCTCGTTCCCGGACGGTGATATAACCCCTAGTGCTGCTTGTCGTTATAATAGTTGTTAATATTCAAGTTCAGTAATAGTTAAAATGTTAGGATCAAGGTAAAAACGTTAGAACTCTTATAGAATTCAATACCTTTAACCACACCACTGCCATCACTGACTTCGGAGTGCTGTCGGTCCGCATGGCCAGGGAATCTACCAGCTGTGTAGGAGAAGGCGTAGGGTTTCGGTGGCGGCGGCTCTGTTGTGGGTTCTTCTAGAATGTGGGACACGTCGCAGCTGGTGAGCGCGACGGTTGCTAGAAGGAGCCACAGCTTGTGGCACAGCATCTGGGGATATAATAGATTTAGATATTTTATTATAGATAGATTTTCTCTGGTGGTCTTACGGTCAGGTAAACTTAATATTGTAAAATGTCTGTGAGAGTTTTCGCTCAGCATAGGACGTATGTCTTTGCAAAATTACTACAAATATCTCCATCAGTTATGGTTGAAATCGCTTATCTGGATGAATTTTATGAATCCCGTCTTATATTGGACTACATTTTTACTGAAAGACGGTTGCTATGGTGGTGTGTCACCGACCACTATGAACTGGTTTATAATTAAAATAAGTGGTTTAGTTGACAATTGGCGTAGTGGGTAATGACTCTTGCGTCAAAGGGTTCTATTCCCACTACTGAAAAAATCAATAATATTTTCTTCTTGAAAATATCTTTAATATTATTTATTTACAAATGAAAAGTACGTTAAAGTATGTTGACAGGGATCACGTATCACGTGCATGTCTAATGAATAATTGCTATAAGAGAAAGGTTCTATTCTAAGCGCGAGGTCATTTAATGTATTTCACATGTCAAAAGGAAAAAAAAGTGAATTGTTGAAGCAAAACGACCGAAAGGCAATCGGGTAATTAATTCTCGAATAGCAGGTATGGCGTATAACCTTTCGCAGAGTAGATTTTTTTTTCTGTAAATTCCTTCGGAATCCTGACCGTTGCCGGATTTGCGAACATTCTGGTTTTGTGTATTTTTTTTTATAACCGGTCAGATCGTTTTTCGTATTTAGGATCGATAAGTTCAAAAAAAATTTCCTTTTGAGGGTTATCGTTGTTATTAGACTGTTATAGCACCTAGACTAGGTTAGTGTTATAACTTTTGTAGGTACAAAATTTTTGTGACGACGCAACTGGAGCATGAAACCACTTCATTATTGTTATGACACTGATAAACAGAACGGATAGTATTAAATTACAAGAATTGGAACATAACCGTAAAATATGCGACAGGCTTATCACTTAACACACGCTCAGAGAAGTAGTTGTGTACTGTGGGTGTAGATGAATTATTTTGTTACACCATTTGGCATTTGGTAGGCTACCGCTACTTCTTTATTGCTGTTAGTAATCGATGTTTAAATCCGTGGTGCTCAGTTTGGTCATATGTTACAAAACATTGTTGGTAGGTCACAGTAATAATTCATTGAATCTCGCTAATTTTGGTAGCTTAATAATTTGGTGCTGGTTGTGAAAAAAGAAATTTTAACTCGTAATTTAGACTAGGGTTTCATTAACCTCGATTGTTAAAACTAAAGTAATTTTTGAGTGAAAATATCTCCAGAAAATATTAATTTCTTAGTTTCATTTAGATTTTGAGTCTTGTCTCTAAAATGTTTCCTTAATACAGGATAAGACTGTTGTTTACAGACGTACATATTTGACACACAGCCCAATCGATTGCTAAGACGCAACATGATGCATAAAATGTAGTCCGTGGAGGGTTCACGAATCTCACCAATGAGGAAAACGACTCAAGGAAAATCATTTATGGACCAGTTTCCAAGTTTGCCGGCCTTTAATTCAATATACTCGGGCAACCTGAGTTCGATCCACGGTGCCGGCACCAATGAAATTGTTAATTTTAAGTGCTGAATTATCACTTGCTGGAGGAAACCTGCATATTTTCAAAATAATAATACAAAAACATTTCGAAGATATGTGGGGGGGGCCGCGTAGTGGACTATGCCCTGATATCCTCTGTACAGAGGAGGCCTTTGCTCAGCAGTGGCACATGTATTGGCTGATACTTTACTTTTTTCCAAGCATTAAGCATAAAATAAAAAGATATATCAAATGCATCAATTATTTTTTTTCTTTATAATCGTTTGAGTGGTACAAATAATGTACTTAGTTTACTTGGTATTAAAAATAACGTATAACAATATTTCGTTATGTACCAGAGCAGATACTATGCTCTCTGAACTCTCCATTCTGCGATTGGTACATTTTCCGTATGTTTAGAATATATTTTAAATACATGTTATATGTGCTAGTCTCTCACAACATTTCCTAGGACATGGAAAATTGATTAAATTCATTGGGTCACCGGAATGGTACCGGGATTCTAGCTAAAGTCGCTAGATTGCAATGAATTTAATGGCAAAAATCCAAATAACGAGCAATACTGGCCACAACTAAAATTAAATTATTTATGTGTTCAAGTGCGGATTTTATTCAACTGGTAAAGGTACGGTATAACCTCCAATCAAATGTTATGTTAATGTTAAAGTTTGTATTTATCGATACTAAGAATTCTTTACTTTGCCAATATAAGCGAAACATGCTTAGCTTATATTTTAAAGTTTTTTTTAATGTTTAATCAACGACCTAGTGGTAGTAAATACTAGTTTTTTAGACAGACAATTTTAGATAAATATTTTGACCTTTGAATTATTTATTTAAAGATAATCAATCCCTTCACCTCGAGAGACGGGCCACGTTAATTTAACTGCCGTCTTTACTTTTTAAGTAAGAAGATGGTTCACCTGTTAAGTGATAATTGCCGCGATTGAGGTCAATCACCAGACGAAATGCAGAAGTATAAGAATTAGTAGTAGAAGGTGTGAACTGGACGCCAGTTCTCTCTGATGTCGCGGGACTTCCCCAAACGGACACGTACATTCGTGCAACAGAAAATACTGTTACGTGGCTCTACCAATAATTCGTCATTGTGTCTGACCCAATTGGTGCAGTTGATAGTGATCCTGTCTCTCACCAGAGGGTGTCGGTTCGATCCGCGCTACTGGAAAAGTATTGTGTGATGAACGTAGTGTTTTTCTACTGTCTGGCTGTTTATATATCTATAATTTGTATTTATTTACAAAAAACAAGTACTTTTAACTATGTCTATTAGTTACCTAGTATTTATAATACAAGCTTCGCTTGGTTTCGGACTACATAACGTTGTGCAAAATCATGTCCTGAAATATTTATAAAAAAAATCAAATTCATTCAACGCCTATTACCAGCGCCTTAGGAAGGAGTGTTCGATACTTTACTAAACGGATGTATGCCTAAGTACATTAAAAGGGAGGGAGAAAATGATATGGAAGATAGGTGAACTAAAGAAGTCCAACACAGGAGCCATACTTTGCCCGCTCTGCGGTCGGCGCAAATCAACAAAGGCGTTAGAGCGTCTTAGGCAAGTAGTCGAAATGCCGAAGATGTATCTGAGAACTTGTTCTCGTTGGCTTGACCTTTTCACCGATTGCGTCACGGTGCACGCTCCTTCGTGATGTCGGACTATGGAGTCAATCTTGTTTGTTAATTAAGTTGTTTAACCAAATCACATCCTGATGAATTAAGTATATATAATATATATACAGTATATTATGAATGTTACGAGTAACTATACAGACTATAATGTTTTGTTTATAAAAGGAAGAAAGATAGCATCATATAAGGAAACCATCCTTAAGTTTAATAGAAGGTAAATCCCCTTGAAGATACCCTTGAGTATAAAAAACTTAGACGTGTATTGCAAAATAGATACACGTATTAACTTTACATAATAATTTGCAACTTTCATCATCACCAGAGAGGGCTATCGGCAAATTAAATTTATTTTTCTTTCCAATTTCGGGACTACTAAAAAGGTGTTAGGTATTATAATTTTAAAACAGATGGAGCGCAGACTATTTAAGATTAACAATTCACATCAATGTCGATAGTAAAATTAATAAAAATAATAATGATTTAAAAGTCATTTCAAATGTTAAACAATAACTATAAATTACGTATAACGTATTGATAAAACCTGGCAATAAGTTTCATGTTACTTGAAATTGGAGTATCGGTATTTATTTATTTTTTTGTTTAAATTTAAAACAATTTATTTGTAATTCCTTGGGTTAAAAATATGTTGTTGGAGATTCTTATAAATAGGGTATTTCCCCCGACGGAGGTAATTAGAATAAAATCTGGTTTTGCATCTTTTATAATTGCATTTGCACGTGGAGCGAGATTGTTGATGAGGTCATCTCCTGCACCATAAACAATACTATTTATTTTGTGAGCATTATTTCAACTGGAATGAATAATCACCATGTAACGTTCATTCTTACCATAGTAATATAAACGTAGTTAACCAGCGCTCACGCCTTCGATCTTTTAGGCTAAGACGATAGCTGTTGTTAAAAGTTTTACATGCTTGTAAAGAATCGAAAAATGACAGTGGAGCCTTTACCTGAGAATATGGTTCCAGATAATCTACTTTTATTTAAGCTATTAGATATTAAGGCACGGACTTCTGCGTGAAATATCTATATGCGCGTACATATACTACATCTCTTCACATTATCCTTAATCAATTTCACTCTCAGTATTAAGTTCTTTTCTCCACTTCATCCAAGTACGTGGTAAATATCCAAGTAAAATTGAAGTTAATAACTCATTTTAAAACGAGTTTGTTAATGTATACAGATTTAAAAGCCTAGCGCCAGAATACTTATTAATAGTTATTAGTCAACTCTACTGAGCTTATGCAAGCGATAAGTACTTAAAGTATTGGGCGAATCTACAAATTCACTGGCAATAAAGTGCGCTCGACTATACGCAACGAGTACTCTCGTTTTATTACAACAATCAGTGCGAATGTAGCGAAATTGTGTCAAGATTAAGTAACGCTAAGGTACGGCGCCTAATACTTAATACGTGGCGCCGCCCATTGCGCATGAACTTGTTTATACAATTTTATCGTTATCCTACGCAATGCGTTTAATAATCCGGTTGGGTTAAGTTTATATCTTCTCTCTCTTCGCCTCACCATTGAGATAGCAGATCAGGAATCGGGGTTAGAATATTTACGTGCAGACTTCAGTTGATCGAATTAATGGCCGATACACAGCGATATACCGCACTGTGGACATTTTCTACCAGTTAAGTTATGGTGTGGTAAGATTTGATGACCGTTGTGAGAAATAATAATATATTACAAGGGAAAAAAATATTTATTTCTATTTTATTGCTTTGGAAAACATACAGCACTTGCATA